TGCATGAACACGTCGTATACTGTGTACTGTGTACTGTGCACATTCAAAGGTGGGCTGTACACACACATTGTCATATGTCATCGATCATTGACCAACTGGTTCATCTGGACCGAGCATTGACAGCGCCAAACTTCCGAATGGGTCCCCCGCCCCGTGTGAGAGCCGTTGCACCCCCATGACAACCCTCATAACCTCATTCATTGTTACATTTTGTTCTTCTCCTTCTTCTCCTCCTCCCCCTCATTGTTGTTGTTGTTGTCGCTGCCAGGTGGGCTACAGTCGTACAGTCGTGTACCCGCTACCACCCCACATCCGTGCCTTCTGTCTCAAGCCCACCCTGCTGTACTTGTACGGCCTGGAAATGGACGAGCTCCAGCGTGTGGCGGCCGAGATCCGGTCCATCCGCAAACCCAACCCGTACACGGGCAATGGGGTGCAGTATGTGGACGAGGTCGTGAAGCTCAAACAGCGTGCGCGTGCCAAGTAGTAGAAGGTATCGAACTGGGGACTAGTTCGGAGATGGTGAGGCGACGAAGTGCGCAGGAGGAGGGGGGGGGAGGAGCAGTGAGGAGGAGGAGGAGGAGGGGGGGGGATGGACACGGCAAAGTTGTATTCATTACTAGATGTGATGTGACGTGATGATCTGACCTGAACGATGTGGGGTTTGCAGGGGGCAGCATAGCAGTGGTGGAGGCGGTGATGAATGAATGTGAATGAATAATCGCAACTTGGTGGACCTGACTATAAGTACTGCCTCGCACACTTTATTTCAAGTCATGCATAACTATCGCTGTAATGCACCTGTCTGTTATTATTCAAGGTCCTCCACAAGTGAAGTGGTGGGATTGAAAGACCCGAGTGAGCCGTCATATTGAATGGATCAAGCATGGCGAATACCAAGGCGCATAGGAAAGCGAGACAGCGCAACGGTTTATGCTCATTGCAATTGCAAGCTGATGATGCTGAACCATATTCAATTATTACATCACTCGTGATGCATGCCCAGGTTTGTGTGGGCATGCATGTGTGTGTGTGTTACATGGTTGGGTGTGTGTGACCCCATACCTGTAAAACTACCCATACGAGCCGAAGGCCCAAGGGCAATCAATATCTATACGCCTAAAAGCCACGGAGAACAGGAAACAGCGCACATCTTGCCCTGGCTGCAGCTTCACTCGTTCGTGGTTCCTCTTTCCCCTCTCTCTCCCGCTCCCTCCCTCACGTGTATCAGAGTCGCCACAATGGCGCTGGGGGCCTCCCGTGAAGCCCATGCTCAGGAGCAACCGCGTGTACGGCATGCCGAGCAAGACACAGACTTTTAAACCGGCACCGGAAAATCTTCCCGTTCCCCAACAAGCCTCGGATGCGAACAACAGAGAGCCACCAAAACTGCTCGCTGACTATAAAGTCAACACCGCGTACCATCGAGCGAAACCCCTGGAGTGGAGCCAGGGGAGCCATCCGGAGTGTTGTACCACCACCGGATCCAATGTGAAAGACAGCAGCTGAGAGTTGAGCACACTGAGACCGAATAATTGTTGGCGCGCCGTAAAAAGTGCTTCAACCCTCCGGGCAGTCCTCCAATCCGGACTCCATCCACACGCACGCACGCACATGGCCCGCAGTACCCCGGCATGAGGGGAAAGGGCCGCTGAGGGCCATGACGGAAAGGCTATGGCCGGCGGTGCTAAATGGCTGCGTGCCCATACCCCTGTAGGTTTACTACAACACCCAGGTCTGGCCTTCCTTGCCTCGTCATGTGCAGCGTCGTTATTGGCGACGGTGGTTGTGGTTGTGGTGGTGATGGTCGTGCTCATGGAGTTGGAAGGTGGTGGCGAACCCATTTCAAAGGCACAATAACCTTGTATGAAGTAACCCCCGGACATGTAATTCTCCACCGCCCCAAAAGATGCAAGAAGCGGAGCTCATAGAAATTAACAAATTTTTGGAGTGACAGACACCCAAGAGAATGTCCACTTCCTCTGCCTGCTTCGTCTGTCGCTACACGTCTCGCAGCACATTGCGACTCAATAAACATATTAGGGCGGGAAAGGGGGAAAGCCGCGGGGGGAAGGGGGAAAGGGCGGGGGAAGCGACTGAAGAAGCTAAACCGTCGTGTGTCCATCCCGAGCGCACTGTACTACGCCGTGCACACGTACGGTGTACGGCTCCTCTTGAGTGTAAAACAAACGACACACACCCGCGCACCCGAACCAGCGTCACAGCGGTATCTCTCTCTCTGATGTCGGCGGCTGTAGCGGCAAACACCTGCAACAACAAACTCACACATACACCACACGCAGTACGACACTCTCGCAACACGGCCAAGCAGCTTTCCTTAGGACGCTAAGGGCCCTCTACGGGCCCCGGCCAAAGCATAATCCTATAAAGGATTGCGGCAAAGGCATGTTATGTACAACACGATGAGAAACCTGGGTCAAAGAGTACGACGACAACAACAAGCTGGGGCCGCCGCACTCCACCGTGTCCGCACACTCCGAGTCCCCGGCACTGGCGGTTTGGTCGTAGCGCAGTGCCGGGAAGAAATGGTCCCCTACACTGCCGGTCAGTTGGCTTGCGGGAGGCGAGGGCTCCAGAGAGCTCACGCGGCGGGCAGCCTGCAAATTGGGAGTTTGCTGTTGTTGCTGCTGCTGCAGTTCAAAGTTTGTTCCCGAGGGCCGCCGGCCGCCGTGGCCATCTGGGTCACCGCTGGTCGGGTCGTTTTGCGCACCCGGATGGGGGCCGCCCGCGTCATGATGGGCTGTTGCTGCCAAGCAGCCGCCTGCTGGGTCGACCAGAACAGTAGGTCGGTCCACCATCTCCAGAGCTTGAACTGCTTTCTCGAAGCAAACCGGCGCTGCGGTGAGAATTCCTCCTCGCCGCCAAAAACAGGCGTGTCCAGCAGTAGGAACGGGGTCGGCATGTGCGGCCGTGCGGAGTGCTCAGATTACAATCATATTCGCGCGGAAGAAGGATTCGATCATTAACAGAACAATATGTGGGGGCTCAGTTACCACTTTGGGCACTAGTTTCTCTCTTCTCCTGCTCTTATTTTCTCTCGTTTTTGGCTTTTAGGCGTTCAGGTCTTGCCCTTGGGCCTTCGATGGGCAGTTCTACAGGTTACGTTCTATAGGTTACGCACCCAACAATGTAACACACACGCACATTGTGTTGGTGCGAACAAAATCACATTATCGGTGCGACTTTGAAGAAGTTGCTGTTCTTCATGTGCGTTCCACAATATGTAACAAATTTGCATAGGTTTCAGGGTTTTACTCCAACCTGGACTTTTGACAAATAGCAACCAGGTTGGAGCTTTGCAGGAGTCATCAGATGGGAAGCCGAACACCCCCAGCTAACTTTCAATCCTGTTTGTCACATGAAAAGCTACTCAATGTAGGGTAACTTGTACCCGGCCTCAAGTAGGCATTTCCGCCAGGCTTGCGTTGTAACGACAGCAAGCTTGCTGTCGGCAAGCTCGCATGCAAGATTTACCGTAAATTCGCACGGAGGCTCACTTGAATTTCGATGTGGCGGGCTGCATGTCTTATAAATAGTGTACTCGCTGTATTATAATGACACAGAAGCCTGTTTGAATACTAGCAAATTAATACTGCACTTTTCTGCCTCTTTCCTACCTCTTTCCTCTTTTTGATGGCAATGATGGCAATGCGCGTGCGGCTGCCGATGGTTGCCCGCGCACCTACGTGCGGTACTCCGCGATGTGGCGGAGTCTGTAAGTCACAGTATGGAAGCGATGCGCAGCTGGAGATGCTGCGTCAAGATATGCAGCAGGGATTCCAGAATGTATCCTCGCAATTTGTGCAGTATGAGGAGAAACTGCAGCAGGTGCAGGAGGTGCAGGAGGTGCAGCAAGATGCAGCAGCAGCTGCAGCAGCTGGGGCAGGCGCAGCAGGCACAGCAGCAGCAGCAGCAGCAGCAGCAGGCGCTGCAGAACATGGACATGCAGCCTGGCAGAGGGATGTCGTTTGTTGCAATCGTGCCATTGGAGCAGGACATCGAGCTGTGGGTGAGCCCAGGGAGCCACCACACTGTGCAGGCGTTTGCTGCTCGGGCAGAGCCTGCTGCTGCAGCTGCTGCTGCAGCAGCAGATGATGCCGAAGCAGGTGATGCAAGCAGAGCCGACAGAAGCAGTGCGGCAGGTGGGGAGGCCAGCCCCCACAGCGGTCAGGGGGCGGGGCGGGGTGGCACGCCATCAGGCCTGTCCCTGGCGAACACATTGACCCTGCCGGACGAGACAGCCCTGAGGTTCGTGTCGCACCTCCCGAGTCACCCAGTCATGAGGATGCGGGGACAGCCTGGCCAGATCATTTTCCTGCATGGCAACACTGTGCATGCTGGGGCGGCTGGCAAGGCTGGCACCTGGAGCCCGCGCCTCCACTGGTATGTTCAGGGTGGTGATCTGGAAAATGAGACATACAGCCTGGCTTATGTCCACAAGGAGCTCCGTCGGCTATTCCACCTCTCCTGAGCATTGAATATGCACACGGATGCCATTCCACAGTGGCCAGGCAGATTCCATCTGTGAGCGGCCAGCTTGTAGTTTGAGTGTGAGAGGGCGGGGTTAACCCCAAACGTTTGGGTCTGGTGAGACTGGAGTTCTGGCTGTGGCTGGTGAATGACCACAAACCCGCTGAGCTGGCGGTGTTGCCACCGTGCAGCTGGCCCATGAATGGGTTGAGACGTGCTCGTGTTCTGTCTAGCCTGGGACTTGATGGTCAGACCGGCAGGGTGGCGCCCTTGTGTGTGCCCCGGTGTGCTTGTGCTAGGTCTTTCCGTCAGTCCCTGTGAATCCTAAGCACAGTGTTGAGAGTGATCGAAGTGCACCATTGTTTGTCCATCAGCTCAGCCATGCAGGCACTTTATCTCACTAGATAAAAGACAGCGGAATCCATGCTCCAATAATCTGCTGACAATGGTCAGGCCGCTTGGCGCCCTTGATATAAAGAAGCAACCCGTGGAGGATGACTGGTTGGTGTACACTCTGACTTTGGTCATGTTGGGCTTCCTGGTGCTGGGCCTGGGTGGGGCTTCTCAATGAAGGTACAGCTGATGGTATGGCTGATGGATAACCGAATGAATGTTGTGCACAGGGACGTATTGGTGAAGTAATAGGTAATGGGAGTGGCACGTTACTATGCAAATCGACAGAAATTGCTTGGGGCCCGTTCCATACGTTGACTGACTAAATCCTTCGTTGGATAGTTGATTGTTGGGGCGTGTCTGCTTCACTTGTATACTGGGGCGACTTCCTGGTGCCAGCCAGTACTAGTTTTCGAAGGGCCTTACCCGCGGGTCCAGAGCAGTAGGGGCCCTCATGGTCGGTCTTGTGGATGATTTCAGCACTATGAACTTATTTCAGAATACAGGACTGACTCTCTGTTTCCTGCTTGAACTATATATGGAAGGGGCAAACCGCTGTAACTTGTGCGTGTTTCTGCTAAGTTTTCCGCACTGTTGCATTCT